CAGTTTTTTGTGAAAATTTAATTTTTCACATATTGGCATTTTCAAGGTGTGACTTTTAAGTTCCATGATCTTGAAGACTTTTGCTTGTCACATTTTCTGAATGTCCATGTTACTAATATTTTATTAATAACATTTGATTGTCATTATGCTGTTAAACATTATGTAATGTTGCATCAAAATTTGAAGAAACCCCTATTTTGGGCACTGCTCCTATGATGACCATTTAAGGGAAATCATGTCACTTACTGTTCTCAAACTTACAGGAAAGAAACATGGGTCTAACATACAGCTTCAGTAGGCAATGCAGTCTGTTTGGTAAATTTTTCTGGCAATTTAACAGTTTTTTTGTGAAAATTTAATTTTTCACTTATTTGCATCTTTATTTTCTGTTCTTTGTCTGTACATTTGACAGCTTTGCTGCCTTGTTTTTACCATTGCTTACACAAGAGTTTTACATGCTTTTCATATGCCTGCATGCTTTGTTTTTTGTAATATTATAATATTGATTTCCAGGGAAAGTAGGTAGTAATAATAAATTTTCAGATGTAGATGATATAAGTCTTTTATGAGCTTCATCCTTTACTTTTAGAATTTTGTGTCATTTTCTAGGACAAAGAAAACGAGCCAGCCTTTGGTATTGATTTATTGCGCTACTGGGCTGCATACAATTACCAAGATAACCAAGTCAGTTTAGGCCCCAGCATACTTAAGAAACACAACACCAGGTTGTTAAAGGTATGATTGCATCTTTTCAGTTGATTACATTTATAAACTCGAATCATAACATTTCAGAATGTCAATGTTGGTTAATAAAATTTTTGAGATTAGAAATCAAATTTCTTCATCATTGTTTAAATTTTGGTTTTGATAAAGATGCTTATCTTATCAATTAGTTACATTTGAACTGTGGGTTTTCTGATATTATCGTTTCAGATAAGCAAAGTTCTCAGGTATTTGGTAGGAAACATTCATGATCTGGATTCTTCAGACAAACTAGTTGAATACACACAGCTTCTCCCCCAAGACAAGTATATGCTGCATTTCTTGTATCAGTTTAGTCTTAAAGTAAGTGCCTTAATGAACTGCTGCATTTAGTCTTTAATATGTAAAAATTAAATGAAAAGAATGGTGATTATCCAGCTTAAAAATATTAAAAATGACAATAAACAGACTTCTGGTAAAAATGTTCCCTCAGAATCAGTGATGTGAAGTTTGTTATCAGGTTCTAGTGCATGCACCCTTTGCGTATTTCAGACAACTTCCGCCTATGAAAATTACGAATTTGCTAGAGTCTTAAACAGAACGGAAAACTTTATAGATGAATTGTCTTCTTTTTACTGCCATGTAACGAAAGACAGGTATGATATACAATGTTGTTGATCACAGTATTACCGAAGAAAAATCTGCATATAACCCAGAACATGTTTTTATAAGTAATATGAATAGCACTTGCATTATCTTATTTAATCATGTATAAATTGGCTTTAACCCTCGGAAATTGAATGAAATGTTATTGAATGTTGAGAATGTGAAAAGTAATGCACTGATATAATATGAATAAACATTTTCTTCATTATTTCAGACTACTTTGTAGTGAAAAATACAGTGTGTCTCGGCTCTCAGCACTGACAGTGTTCTGGTATCTCACAGACACTTTACTGCACACATTGGCTCCTATTACTCCACATATCGCTGAGGGAACATATTCCTCTCTGCCAATCATACAAGGTGTGTGTGAGAGAAAGTGATAGAATTTATAAGTTTTTTGCATACATATTGCAGAATTTTATGAATTCAAAGTGCTGGGCAAAACACAGATTTTAATATTTTGTCTTGCAACAATTCAATCTTACATGTGAAGCTTTTTTAAAATAATATATTATGATTTGTCAGAAGTGCTGTCCAGCTGTTATATAATCCTGGTTTTGCTTTTTGATCCAAGGAGAAAGAAGTGTGTTCAAATCAGGCTGGTTCAAGTGTGACCCCAGCTGGAACAACCCTGGTATTAGTGAAGTCATGGAGATAGTGCTGGGACTGAGGGAGAAGTTCTACTATGCTCTGGATAACAACTCTCAGGCCAAGGAGTTTGATGTGGTGATTCACACATCTTCACCACTGCGGAACTGTATGAAGGTAATAGTATGATTTCTGTGATTAATTTACATGTCACTTATACAACGTAGGGTTAAGTTCATCAGAAAACAGAGCATGTGGATGAAAGTATATTTTATTGAATTATTATTCTGGACATCATAACTGTTGGATGTTTTCAGTTGTATGTAAACATGTAAATCCGTAGTATTCTCTACACTTCTCAGCTAACTGTTATACATGATTGGATATACTGGAATGGAGTAAATTTAGCTTACATTTTTACACTGACAAAAGAACTTATATACTTGTTTCATGTGGCATTAACACAGATACTGCAACTTGAGGTTTCTATTAATTATCCTAGATAAGTTTTATAATAAAATCTCTTCTCTCAGGTATTTCAGCCAGAGGGCTATCCCAGCTGTACTTCTCCTCTGAATGAGGTCTTCCAAGCAGCTGTAACTACTGTCCTGGGGAAACCACCCCCAATATTGCCTGATGACTCTCAAATTGTCTCTGGAAAGTGGCCATTTAAACATAAAGGTAAGGGTTTTGTGCTATTTTAGTACAACAGGCATGGCTATTAATTTGTGGTAGTAAACATACTGTCTTTATGGATACAGTTTTGAAGAAATTATTCTTCATCTCCTCCTTATTACTGTTATCATGACATTGATAGTGACCAGTGCTATAATCATTAAACTTCTTTTTTTGCGTATCAGTGTTTTAAAGAGGTATCATGAATTTGGTGTGAAAAAATGCAGTTTTGAACAGGATTTTGTTTACTTTGTCTGTACTTTGTTGTTGTCAATTGAAACTGGCTTGTTATTTAGCAAACACAAAATGTGCAACAGAAAACAATGTGTGTGTGTTTTAACTTGATTAAATATGTTTCTTTCAGATGGCACCTCAAAAGAAGAGCCTTATACTCTAGTCATTCTTCCCGCTGAGAATCACAAGTGTCCAAGGTGCTACAGATATCTGGCTGCCTCCTCTACACAGCCATGTGACAGGTGCATGGAAGTGATAGCAGGGCAGTGGGCAGACTACTAAGCCATTGAATGCCATGGGACAGCCTAGGAAGTGATTGCAATCCAGTAGGCAGAGTAAGAGGTGATTGCAATCCAGTGGGCAGACAAGGAAGTGATTGTAGTCCAGTAGGCAGACTAAGAAGTGATTGCAATCCAGTGGGCATACCAAGAAAGTGATTGCAATCCAGTGGACAGACTTAGAAGTGATTGCAATTCTGTGGGCAGACTAAAAAGTGATTGCAATCCAGTGGACAGGCTAAGAATTGATTGCAATCCAGTGGGCAGACTAAGAAGTGATTGCAATTCAATGGGCATACAAAGAAGTGATTGCAGACCAGTGGGCAGGCTAAGAAGTGATTGCAATCCAGTGGGCAAACTAAGAAGTGATTGCAGTCCAGTGGACAGCCTAAGAAGTGATTGCAGGCCAGTGGGCGGACTAACAAGTGATTGCAATCCAATGGGCAGACTAAGAAGTGATTGCAGGCCAGTGGGCAGGCTAAGAAGTGATTGCAATCCAGTGGGCAGATTAAGAAGTGATTGAAGTCCAGTGGGCAGACTACTGTGTGCCATCAGACTGTTATGTGACATCATAGCAGTGGGGACACAACTGTGTGATGGAAGACCAGTACACAGACTAAATATTGTGTGGTGGCACTCTCAAGTGATAGTAGATTTTCACCTTTTGGGCTAGGTACTAGAATGCACCAGGCCTGATGCTGTCACTGGCCTACAGACAACCATACTAGATGATAGAAGACCAGCCAGAAGACTGTTTATGGTGATAGCTGTGAAGAAATATTGGAGAAGCGGAAAAGAAAAATGTAGATAAAAACTCTGAATGCTTTTAGTGGATTTGGATCTTTTATTCCATCATAATTTGAAATCACATTTTCCAGAATGTGAATTTACAGATAACAGTGCTTTTAAATGATGTAGCCCTTGTCATCACAACTTGTCTATCCAATGACTGCACCAGAAGAATTAACCTCTTTCACCACTGCAGACTCTTGATTGTCCCAGAAAGTGTCATAAGCCATAACTACTGTGACTCTGAAAGCAGATATTTTTAAACAGATATTAAGTTTTACACAATCACACATACAAAACGATATTAGAAAAATTGCCATATATACATTAAAATGTATGCAAAGAACTTGTGTTTGCTACCCTGTTGTTGGGGTGCCCGTGCAGTCATTTTATAACTGATACCTGGCACTGAACTTGTAATGGCCATGTACATTAAGATTGTTGAAGTTATTACAAAACGGGGTATTAATGAAATAAAGAAATGGAAAACGTTACAAAAGTGCTATACATCTTGAGAGCAATGAAAGCAGCATATAAGAACTAGCTATCGTGTTATTTTCTTTTAATCAATGTAAAACACACTGCAGTGACTTAGCTCGTATTTTATTTATACTATTTATTATTATTTTATTAACTTTATTATAATTATTGTGATAACAAACTGGTTCAATGTGGTATAATCTCACCTGAACACTATGTCACCTGCAGATTTTGCTGGAGCAGTCCACCTGAGTACTACCTCCGACTTCTGATTGGAATTGGAGTGACTTATGGCATGATCCTGAATGGTAAACGGTATTTTGAAATTTAAACATTTAAAAATGTTTGGGTGCTCACATGAATGCCGAGAATGGAAAACGGATAATTTAAAATCTAACATTGTACAAAACGCCAAGAATGTATTTTCAAGAATTTTCAACCAAAATCGGCCAGAAAAATGGGCCTTCAGGTCGATTTATTCTCAGATTTAATTTAAGCTTCTTTTTGGCACCTGTAAACTCCTGCAGGTTTGATCTTTCTATAAACGTGTGGTTCAACATCGGTTTAATAATAAATCGGCACCAGATTTGAATACGGCTTTAATACGCAAATTCTAGCCTACTTTTCGGATCTCAAACGAGCGATGACCACAGAAGCCGATTTTATAATCATTATCATTATTCATTGGTTCCACCGCAGTATAAATACAGGCTGTGACCTTACTAAGCTATAGCCAACAATGTTAACATGTAACATTTCAAGCTGAAATATATTATTATTATTATTATTATTATGTACAGTTGTACTTAGGCGTTCGATTCATTTCGCGACGGTGATTGTCAAAGGTGATTTCACTTCAGCAATGACCTTCGAAAAAAATCGTCCTCTTTTAATAACAAATGTAAGAAATGCTGACGAAGGTATTATCTAGCTAAAAACTTGATTCCTTCTATAGTCAACTACAAATTCAGCCTTGATATAGGCATTAAACCATGTGGCGTTAGAAAATCCTGTAAAATAATCTTACATAGATAATAGAAATAATGAAAGAAATTTCCGGAAAGCATTTAGGCCTATCATCCATGGTCATTCAGAGAACAGAGTAGTTAGGCCAGTTTGTCGTATTAAAATTGTGGTTTACTGTTGTGATGAATTTAAACGGTGTCCTGTCATGTACGTGTTGTTTTCACGGGGGACGGGGGGATTTCAATCGAAAGCACTTGCACAATTCATTGCCAGCACTTCTATTTAATCTCAGAAATATAAAACGATTCACTCTTTGCGCATTATAAATCAGAATTTTATAGGCGACACAACCATTCAAGAAAAAGCGACGTAAAAAATGGAGTTGCCACTCCCATAGGCCTAATAATCGGGCCTCCAATGTTCTTATCTGTAAACTTTTTTCACAGAAATGCTTTCCTTTTGGTTATACACGGTAAAGGCAAAATTAGCTTGGTTGCTACTTTCCACACATTGATCATTTTTCAATATTGTAAAACATTCTTGACAACACCAATGGTGCCTTTGTAAGCCTTACAACATTCCCTTTTATCGTGGAATGATTGATCGGATTGATAGCAACATGTTACAGGTGATAATTTGCACTGACAGCAAAAATGTTTCATTCTTTGTTAGACTTGTCAGTTATAAGATTTTTAAAATTGAAAAAAAAAAAAAAAAATACACTGACAGTGGTGTCACTGTCTACAAACCCCAGACATACACCGTCATATAGGGTAGGTAAAAATAAGTATGTCGATATATCTTAAAATTACTAAATACTCTGCCAAACCATGGAATTATATATATATATATATAATTCCCCGGCCAAACTTACTCCATTTCTTTGCCTGCACAAATTCTTCGAGCCCACACTGGTGACTTCAGTGAATGTTCCAACTGGTATAACAGACTGTGAGTTATGTTTACGAGCTTGCACAAAGAAACCCTTGAATTTCTCTCCGTTTGCACCTTTTAGGGTCACTGAAATAAATTAATAAATTTTTTTAAAAATATATTAATCAATTCAATAGCCTTTCAAAACGGAGATATATTTAAGACAATGGCCACACCTATAGATAGGGAAGCCGAACAAACAAGACTACCTAATGCACGTCCTTTGTCGTTGCCGATCCTTGATTTGAAAAGTCCGATGATATTCTTGTGATTAAAAGGGGTTTCAGTCTTTGTGTAAAAAAGTACAGTTTTACACAAAATATCATGTGGTATTTTTTGAAGGTTTTGTCATTCTTTCAAAAGAAATTTAGTTCCGCTCTCAGTAGTTTTAGTAGAAGTAGTGAAATGTGTATGTGGTAATAATTAAGTGCGCATGCAGACAGACGAACGTAAAAGTTAACAACTTCTAAAGCAACGCTAAAATCAGGTTTGGGGCGTAAATGTGTCAGTTTAGTGTTGATAAATATTCAACATAAACACAATAGGCCTACAATTTCAACAAGCTTATAAAAAGACAGTCTATTTTGGTATTTATGCGTCTTTAGCAATCCAGAATTCACTTTGGCTCAGTATAAAAACCTTTAGGTAGATTAAAAAATTGTAATAGAAAAATTTAAAGAGCAAACTACTGCAAGTAATTTTGCATATGGTATACAGACTTTGCAAGTATTATGTAAAATTTTGATGCAATTTATGAAATTGGAAATAATGAAGCAAGCCACTGATACCATCTATACTCTCTCCTGCTTTGTATTTCTGTTTGCTCACGGTGATGGTGTATGGAGACGGGGTGAATGGATCACTTGCGCCGTAATGGCTTGGCCTCATGGAGGAACAAGCGATTTCTGGGGGACCCGTTCCATAGCCTCTCGATTCTCCGGCGTATAGCAATAGCATCGCCGCAATTAACATTCCTGCGTTATTCATCCTGGTAAAACAGTAAAGTTTATAATGTATAGACGCGGTATATCTACAATAAAATATAGGTCATAATGTTTGGTTACACGTATCGATCTCCACATTTGGTTCTGGATAACACCCGAGCTCATTGTATTAAGATGATGTAACATTTTGTACACTCTAAAGTATGTCTTTTAAACTGGTATAGTACCAGGTCACTTCAACAAAGACTAAGGGAAATTTGATTCGCGATTGTGCGAGAAAAATGAAATGATTACAGTCTTTCTAAAACATCCGATTAGAAATAATTCATAATAGGAAAATCAAACATATTAGGTAAATGCAATGTCACCTACCTCCGAGAAACTGTCATCAACCAAGAAAAAATTCGACAACTATTGGTAATAAAATTTACTCAAGTAGTATACGTACGTAGTTCCGCTGTGTGCTGCTGATATAATGTCCTGTACGATTTATCTCTCCGGGAATACCCCAGGTGGACATACATGTAGTTTTAATCCGATCAAAGATGCACCAATCACGACTTGTTTTAAGCTGCTTGCTAAAGTTGCAGGTCGGTAAATGCCAACATTGTTAGTTCTAGGTGCATTATCCGAAATGCTGTGCTAAATTACTGTAAAGAGCACGAATACATTAAAATGATCCATGTGTATGAGCATTTTGACTAAATAGTATTTTAGTAGGCCTACATATGTGTGAACAATGCCACTGAAGCGGGAAAATATAGGAACTTTTTTACTGTGCAAGAATTCTTAGATGTCATATTGTTAATAGGACTGATTTTAGTTGGGTTTTTCTTTAATTTTCTTTATTTGTGAACATACCTATTTTTTTAAAAAAAATTCTATAAATTAATATTTTTCTGGAGTACCAATAATTAAATAGAAGATTAAGCTGTAACCAGTAGGCTATGATTTCTCGTGATAAGCTACATTCGTTAAAATTTCCGTAAGTCTGGCAAAATAATGAAAAAACGTAACATTGCTTAAACTCTATGGCCAATTATCTTCCAAAACTAGAGATTTACATGTTAATGCAATAATAATTATGATAACACATATTATTCAACAAGGACAATTATGATAACAACTACAACGGCAACAACAGCAGCTATTATTATTATTATCTTATTATAATAATCATTATCATTATAATTTTAATGTTGCAAACCATAGGCCCTATCCTTGCACCTGTAACAGTACCCATGTCTTTTATAACCTATAGATACATCGATTTTTAAAAACTGTTATTTAAAAAACGTTATAGGCCTACATGTACGTGTTGATAATCAATGTAATGAAAAAATAATATCAATCTTTTAAGATAATGTTAAAACATTACTTGTTACATTTGCAAATATATCTTAGGTTTATGAAATTTACTTCCAAAGTTTACAAAAAATGCACACATTTTTCCTCATGCAAATTACGTAGAATATGCAAAAAACACTCACTGCACAGCAGTTCAGGTGATTGTGTTGAATGTGTTAGAGATGATCTGCAGTGGTTTGTCTTGCTCTCCTTTGTTAGAGTACGAGAGTGCATATGAAGTGTAATTCCGCTTCCTGTCGTAATATTTGTTGGCAGGTCAAAGTTGGGTTAACTCTAAATCAAAATGCCAAGCAAAAAGAAAAAATACAATGCTAGATTTCCCCCGGTAAGTACCTCGTATTCTGTGAACGACATCACAATTCTGAGAAGAGACGCATGTGTTCTAGCGAATAAATTCATCAGCTGTTATTTGCTCATGCACTGTCAAGTTGCGGTAACATTAACACTTCACAGTCAAATCCAGTAGATATCAGACTCAAGCATTTTCACTCCTATATTTAAGTTTCCATCAACCAATTTATTTTAGCGTCCTTCATGGGTGAATGAAGCTGTGGTGTAATTTTAGTCTCTACCTGAGACGTGCAGACAGCTTCCCTCCCTTTATTTACTCCATCAAAACCCGCATCATGTTACCTGTAGTGGTTAAATATTTCTATTTAGATTTACTGTGTCTCTCAGGATTACATCACCCATGAGTTTTCTATACTGTTCTTGAAGTTTTCATTGCTCAATGGGAAATTTGTTTTGTTGATATGTAAAGTAAGTAGTTGGCTCTAGACGTTAATTGATGATATGTCAGCACGTGTTTGGTTATCTGTGGTTAAAGGCCAATTTTCCTGTCAAAATGGATTTTCCTGGGTAAAGGGCAATTTTCTCTTACTCGTGAATTATTGTTTAACCCATCCTTGCACTTGGATTCAATGTTTTGTTCAATTTCTAGTGTAAAGATTTAGTTTAAAATGACTAGGCAGTCATTAAAACAACATCTGCCGTCACACACACTGTTTTGATTTCACAAATTAAAGAAAATTGCTAAAGCAAGGGGTATGCATCAGGTAAACTACATATCTAAAGGGTATTATAGTTTTTAAACTCTGAGTTGGAAATATTACAAGATTTACAAGAGACGAATATGACTGTTGGGGATTTTCAAATGCATGGAGAAAATCTTTAGGTATTAATGTTGCAGTTTTCTTGTATAACATGTGACAATTAACATGATTAAAGTATATCTGCTTTGACCTAAACAAACCTTACTAAATCACAATCGTGCTAAATCTTTGATATATTCAGCATATTTTAATTTGAAAATTATGTTTCTTCCTATTAAGGCAAGAATCAAGAAGATTATGCAAACAGATGATGATGTTGGCAAAGTGGCTGCTGCTGTACCAGTTATTATTTGTATCCTTTTCAACAAGTTCCTGTATTTTAGAAAATTCTTATCTCCTTATGTTTCTGTCATTAATTTTGTAAAGTGACATTCTGTGGTATTTGCTTTGCATTACATTTGGATTTTTAACTCTTTTAAAATGGTTTTTACACAAAGGTTAATACATAAATAGTACAGATTTGGTGGGAACATTGATAAGAGCAATCCTAATCTTTTGTCTTAAAAAATTCTTTAAAAATTATTGATTACATTTTGTAGAGAAATATTGGTGATTATCATTATGGTTGGGAAAAAAATGGACAACCATTTTCATCAATCAACTTCAACTACAAAAGTCTGATCTGTTAGTGATATTTACATAAAAAAATTAAAAAATTGAAACAAAAATATTTTGGGTTATTTTGAAATAGCATTTTAGCTTTTTAATTTTTTTAAAAATATAGACTTTTGATTAACATATAATTGTAATTAAAGTGTTTTGTAGATCTCACTTAATTTTTAAGTGTTTACCCTAAGAACATGTACTTCCTCATACCTCAATTTTTACATTGGAAATGAAATTTAATTTTAGTTTTATATATGCCAAAAAATTCCCTCTTAGTAGTGCAAACTTTCACATTTTTCAAGTTAAACACTGCAAAATTTATTTAATCAAAAAATGTGCCTTTTCAATTTTTTTTGTCCAGGACACAAATACCACAGAATGGGATTATAAATTTAGTCATTGGCTGAAAGAATGGTTCCATATTTACAGTAGTTAATGTAAAATTTGAAGACCTTCTATAAATGTTATGTTTGTTTATTGGCTAAGGCAGTTTTGAACATCAATCAGCTGTGTAGTGCTGTTAGTGCAAAAATGCAAGGAAATGTATTTTCCTCAACTTTCTCAGCAAGAGCTCTTGAACTATTCATAGAGTCCCTGATATCCAGAGCTAATGATATTACACAATCAAAACATGCCAAAACTCTTTCAGCTGCTCATATGTAAGTGTTTTAATTTGATGAAAATGGTATTGCAATTTTTGATAAGTGGAACATTAACGACATTTTTGATACAAAAGAGAGACAGAAATACTTGTCAGATAAAGGACTACATGATTTCAAATGAACCAACAGTTGGCTTGAGATGGGATGAAAATTGGGAAAAATTCTAATATGACTAATCAGCTACAAAAAAAGGCACAAACTTTCAAAGGATATGTAAAACCTAAGTATAATTTATGTTCACCATCTGTTGAAAAATTGCAGGAAGCAGGCCATAGAATCAGAGAAGAAGTTTGACTTTTTACGTGACCTAGTAGCTAGCATTCCAGATGTCCAGTGCGAGGAAGGAGACGGAGAGGGAAGTGTTCACACTGCTAATAATGCTGAGGACAATGCCCCAGTGTCTGGTACAAGACCATGGAAAACAGGGTAAGGTTAAGCCAGAGATTAAATCTGAGAGAATTAAAGATTGATTGATTGATTAAATTTAAGCCTGGTTTGCAAATTTCATTTTAAGTTGTTTACAAATATGTAGATAATTTTGTTTACGTAGGAGGCCCAGGAAGTCGAGAAGTGGCCAACATGGAGAAAACAGTTCTACGGGAAGAAGAAGGACGGAAGTGACCTCAGATGATGAATCCACTGAGGATGTAGGTTTCTTTGCTTAAATTGTGTAGAAAATATTGTACTAATACACTTAAGTTAGATCAGGACTTACCAAGCTACAGTTACAGGTTCATAGGCCTTACGAATAAATTAGCTGTTTGTGATCTCGAGCATGCATGTCAAATTAATGACTAAAACTGCGATATTTAGGCACAGGTTCACAGGCCTTATAATAAATTGCTCTCACTCTCTGCTGTATTTAATCAAATTAAACATGACAGTTATTCTAAATATTGCATATTACTTTCCCCAAATAATGAAAATCATACTGCATTTAATTAATCTAAACCCTCTTATGCGGTAAATAAATAACATGTAGCAAGCAAACTTGTAGCTTAAACCAACTTGTAGGGAGCATTCATATTCACACTGGGCGAAATTCTTGCTAGAGTGCAACCAGTGGAATCAGCATAATCGGCACACAATAGCTAATTACCTCCTAGCTGCTTAAGGAGGCGTGTCAGACAATTAAGCTGATTTCACTGATTGCAATTAAGTGAGAATCTCCCGCAGAGTTGGACCCGACCCAGCACAATATGTGAATCTGAATGTGGTCTTTTTCCATTAGGAAATGAAAGCCACTCACAATAACTTGCTTATATTTATATATCAGGCAGACACAGATGAAGGTGAGGATGAGACTGGAGAGGATACTACCCAGTCTAGTGGTAGCATACCATTTGCACAGCCCCCACCAGCAGCACAACCAGAAGCCCCCAGACCAGTATTTGCAGCCCCTCCGGAAGGATACAATTATCAGCAGTAAGTTCTTATAAGAGGCAGAGAATGACTTCTGGATGAAATGACTGTACATTTTTGAGGATATTTTAAAGGGATTTTTATTTCATTTTTCCAATATTTTCAAAACATATTGGAACTTTTTTCATTTTCAGTTATTTTTCTGTTTGGCATCTGTATATTTGCAAACATTGCTGTCTAATTTTCATATATTTCAAATTAAGTAGTGTCATAAATAAGCATCTGTTTTTGTACATTTCCAGTCGTCCTGGTCCATACCCGAGTCCATTTCAACCACAGGGTCTCCCACAGTATTTACCTCATGGCATCATGCCACCAATGCCACAGACTATGGGCATATTGCCCCAAGAAAGAACTTTTACACCCCCTGTAGTGCCGCCATCTAGTGACAGGGGTAATACAAAGGATGATGATTATGATACTTAAGGGAGACTCCTAATTCAGTTCAAGTGTTTTTGATTTAAACTGGAGGCACATTCTGCATACAGATTTTAAATTTCTTTTTCCTAATCCGAATGTGAGGTGGAACAGTTCAATTGTTTTGAAAAGTAGTTATGATGTTTGAGTGTGATGGACTTTGAATTTGCTGTTTTATATGTTTGTGCAAAAGAAGCACATTTTTAGGTAGTTACACTGGACTTGTGAATACCAGTTAAATATTTGTTAATTTCAAGAAGGTACAACACTAACCTTAACCAATAATTTTTTATGTACAGACTTTTTTTAAAAATTAATAATAATAATATCATAGGATGAAATATGCTAGTGGCTTATAATCCAAATCAAGCATCTGCACACTTCTGCAATATTGATTCTAAATATCAGAGTACTGAGTCCTGATAAATTTGTGGAAAAAAAGAATGAATGACATTATATTTTATTACTACCAACAAAAAGTATTATCAACTTTGTTAATTTTGTTTGTCAAATATACGAATTCAAGAGCAGACCCCTTTTCTTCATCAGAGGCCCATATATAATAAATATAAATTTTAATCAGATGTATAAAGGAGAAAACAAAGTGGGCTTAACAAAATAATAAATTTCATTCCCAATACGCCATCTTGGACACTGACACAGTAAACACTACAAAACTGACCCCAAGTTGAGCATGGTAGGCCGTGTGACTTGTTTACATAGGTCTTCTAAGTCATGACTAGACTTTATTGCATTATTTTGATCTTTCTAATTTATTCAAGTTATCAATTTGCTTAAAAATGAACACTGGTTTCCGCCACATTGGGATCACTGTATAGAGTTCAATTTGTTCACAGCACCACAGTGGGAGCTGTCCTCATTTCTTGTTACAGCAAGAGTTAATCTTGGTCCACTGTAATTTGTATCACAGCAGAGATGTCAGAGGCATTTCTTATCCTTTGTTGAAAATGACTTCAGATTATCATTTTATTAATATCACCTTGTAAACCAGATATAAATAATAATACTGGTACCACATATTGTTATCATGACTTGAACATTAAAATACAAGAAACAGTTCCAGATATTGCACTAAATTAACCATGTTTACATTGCTGTTCACTGGGCTCTGGTTTCATCTCGAGTTCCTGTCTCTCTACATTCAATGCATTTCTATGCAAGTATATAGCCAGAACTGCTGACCAGGTCCTAAATGGTCCAAGTAAAAATGCCATGGTTCCATAAGCTTTAAAGAACCCTCCATATGCAAACCACACTTGCAAGAACACGATGAGTAAGAAACTCCAGTGATCCTTGATATAGTTTTTACAAGTAGGCTTGTCCATGGCTTTATCTTTCTTTAAGTTTCTGAGATGGTGCTGTATACACCACCCAGTGTAAAGTATTAATGGAATGACAAACATTAAGATCTGGAAAAGAAAAGTTTTAGATATCAGCAGTAATAGAAGCAATAACATAATATCAGGGTTGCATTTATAAAACCACACTTATACTCTGTACTGAAGACTTTGGATTTCATAGAATAGCCACTCAAATGACATTTTCAACAGTTAGAAACGGTTATTTTGTATACTGCTACATTTTATTACACCCAACTTCTAAGCCCACTAGATTATTTAGAGCACTGATCCAGTGCCATATTAAAAAGATGCATTTTATTATTTATTACAAAGTGAGTACACAAATAGAAACACCTGTACGGCAACCACTCGGTGTATATCAGAGTACAAAATACTGCATGTTCATTGTTTTAGACAACCAGTAGTCAAACAACTCAACTTTGAAGTAGTAAGCACGATAGCAGACAGTTATGCTGGTAACAATTAAATTTATCTCTGCAATACTGTGTGTGCATTAAATAGATCAAGCCCGCATTCTACTACTTACCTGGAAAAATCCATACACGTATGTGAGATTACTAGGAATAAGTGTACCATTCACATAGATCCCAAATAAAAAGCACAGACCCACGTGGCCATCTAAGACATGTCCTATGAACCAGGGTCCTGAGGGAAAAGGAGAAAAATAAGTGGCAAAATGTCTGAGAAATACAGTATATTAAAATGTAATGTGATAAAGAAAAATTACTGCCACTGACAAGAACAAGGAAAGTCATATTTCATTTTAGATATACTGAAAACTACCATACCACTCTTTCTCTCAAAATTCACAACATGATTCAAGACAAAATATTTCATGATTCAAGATAAAATGTGCTACACAAAATAATTTTAAATCGAAATATAAAAACTGTTAAAAATGTTTGTTTAAAACCCAAATACACAGCCAAGCCAACATACAATGTAAATGTAACACAATCAATAGCCTCTCTAATTAATATGCAAATTAAGAGTTTATTTAAATTTCTCACTTAAACTCACCTATTGTTATATAAACTATGTATATAACCAATGGATAAAAAGTGTTATTGTATACAGACACATAATAAATCCTTCTGAGGATTTCATTCACCACATCGAAAAATCTACGCAGGTGCAGGCAATTGACTGAAATATTCAAATGATAAATAATATGTTTACTTTCCACTAATACAAAATGATTAATACAAACACTTTAATCTTAGACTACTGTATGACTTTTATGAAATACTTATATATTAATTTAACATTCAGCTGGCATCTTTTCCGTGGTGACATTAGAAGTAGAACAAAATGTCAAAAATCTTGCCTGTTTTCCTTTCTTTCATGATTCTAAAATAGAGCAAGGGTAAAAGTGCTGTTAACATCGCCACTGTGTAGAGAGTCTGGCCCTAAAACATAACAATTCATAATCAATTATTTAGTTCTTTTTTTACCTCTGTTTATTATACATTTACATACGAAATGAAGATGTACAGCTAAACGTTAAATATGTGTGTTGGATATTAAATCCTGAGTGCTCAAAACATGAGATACAGGATTTAGTATAAAAATAAGTAGTTTAAGAATGCAGAGTACTGGCTCAAATTACCAAGGGTTAAAGGTGTACTTAATTTGACTTTTTTCAGCTTCAACTTTCTCAAAATGTGCATTTATTATATGTTCACATAACCAGGCACATTGCAATGTAAGATAAATGATACACAACAGAATGACTTAATTACTATATTGATAGGAACAGAAATATTTATAATAATTATAACAGATACACCAATACTCACAACAGTGTTTAAGTCCAACATGAGGACAAGTCTAGCCATCAGTCCAAAGTCCAACACTGTGTGGTCCAGAGAGAAAGACTGCTCAACTGTTGTACTATTGCCGAGACTGTCCTATATAGAAAAATATAAGAATAAATGCATACATGTATTTCACCTACAGGCAAGACACTGAGGATATGGTTTTATGTATAAAATCAGGACTACTGCTATATATACTGCACACTTTGTCTCCTTGTTGTCTCAAGCCCCTTGCATTCAATACTCCTTCTTGGAGTCTGCCACAGGAGACACTGGCCTTGGTGATGATACATATGGATACCTATTTATTGTGACTATAGAGAAATTGCAAGCCAGGTAAAGAAGTTCATTTTATTAAAGAGCTACATGTAGAGATATTTGCTGCTAAACCCTTCAAACACCACCTTCAGTCTCCTTGTTGATCTCACACTGCACCCCTGCTATAACACTACTTCTTTTGACACTAACTTCTGTGAGTGCATTGACAATTGCCATTTCAGCATGACATTGTAGAAATATTGAAAAATAAAAAGTCAGAAAACAAACCCCAATCTACAACATTTTAAAAAAATATGAACCCTAAAATTCCCCTCAAACATAATGTCCATTGGGAAAGCTGGGTGCCGGACTACCAATGAATTCATTATACAAGATAGACGTACTATAACAAACCTTAGCAATCACTTTAATAGTGTGCACCCCCTTGCTGTAGTCTGTGGGGTTCCATGCCAGGACATACAGTGGACCTTTGGCCTGCTTTGCAAAGCCAACTTGAACTGTATCAATGCTGACCTCAACTGAGAGAATTTTACCAGGTGAGAAGACTAGCAGTCTGAAAACCATCAAAATCAAAAGTTTATATATATATTAAAATTAATAATAATAATAATAATAATAATAATAATAATAATAATAATAATAATAATAATTAAAATTTGTCAAATAACTAAATTCAATACAGTGAAATAGAAGTGTTGTCTTCACTTTTAAATGCCAAAGATATCCAGTTTTGAAATCACAAAGATTTTTTTTTTTTCATTTCAGTTTTTGTATGTCTATAGGTCATATAACAATCATTACATGCCTTTAGAATGCAATATATTTAATTAGCTGCAGATACATGTCATCATGATACCTGATATGAGTAGACTTCAGCATACGGCCAGTTGGTTCACGGTCAGGCAGTGTGTACAGAGCATCTTTGGGGTTTGTGACCAGAATAATAGGCCAGGTATCAAAATGAACATCAGTAAATGACATCAGATCATGATCCATGGCAACTACTCTATACCTGNTCAAAAGTTTATATATATATTAAAAAAAATAATAATAATAAAATAAAAACAATAATTAAAATTTGTCAAATAACTAAATTCAATACAGTGAAATAGAAGTGTTGTCTTCACTATTAAATGCCAAAGATATCCAGTTTTGAAATCACAAAGATTTTTTTTTTTTCATTTCAGTTTTTGTATGTCTATAGGTCATATAACAATCATTACATGCCTTTAGAATGCAATATATTTAATTAGCTGCAGATACATGTCATCATGATACCTGATATGAGTAGACTTCAGCATACGGCCAGTTGGTTCACGGTCAGGCAGTGTGTACAGAGCATCTTTGGGGTTTGTGACCAGAATAATAGGCCAGGTATCAAAATGAACATCAGTAAATGACATCAGATCATGATCCATGGCAACTACTCTATACCTGTAAAAAAATAAAATAAAATAAACATATTGGAATTTAATATTTTAACAATGTTTGGTTGTCATCTATAACTTTTATCTGAAAGTCTATATACTTGTTTGTGTTTGATTTTATTTATTATTATTATTTTTATATTATTATCATTTTTTTTTTGTAAATAAGACACAGTTACTGCAAATCAGCTCCTATAATTACATTCTATTATCCTTCCAGTCTCCAAGTTCCAGTTCCAGATAACCCTCCTTCTGTAATGTATGCATCTTTGGGACAAGGCCAGCCAGGGTGTGCAGATGGCCACACAAGTAGGCTATGCCATTCCTGAAACATAAAAGAAAAAATACACCATCCCATAAGAGTCAATGAACATTCACAGCAAACGACTTTTCATTAATTATAAGGTCATGGTACTGTAAATGTAAAAGTGTAACAGAACTTTTCTTCGGCCAATTCTAAGCTACATACATCTTGTTAAGCTAATTAACTCACAAATAAACTATATTTTCAATATTCTACATCAAAGCTGCACCATTTCCCTAATAGTAATAATAATAATAATAATAATAATAATAATAATAATAATAATAATAATAATAATAATAATTTTATGATCACTTCTTGTAACTATTATAAATCATACAATGATTTTCAGAGAAGTCGACATAAAGCTTACATGTATATACCAAACATTTTTGGTTTTCAGTTCATTTGTTGTCCATGTTATTGTAATGCTCCAGGTGACAGTGGACAGACATTTTTATTTCAGCAGTCCAGTGCGTGTAGCTTACCTCATGACATGCCGCAGCCCAGGTCCAGGCATACCAATCAATGAAGTTGGGTAGTGACCAAACCATATGGTAGCATTGCTCTTCTCACTGGCTTGGGCAAACTCCTCCAATGTGTCTAAACTATCCTACAAGAGTCAACAATTAAAAGATTAAAATTTACAATAAATAAGCCTTCTAGCTTTAATTTTTTAAATCTTCAGTAATTAAAACAATTTAAAAAGAGCAAGAAAAAAGAAATAAAACAGGAAATGACAGTCACAAATTAGGATTAAAAAACTCTCTTAAATTATCTGTGAACAGATAACCAAGAATCATATACTGGTTCAACTTTACCTGCGTTAACATTCCAAAAAAATTAAATGGTCTCCTTGGTCCAGGGTTTGGGCAAGCATCAACTGCATTAAAAATGTACTTCCCAAATGGCAATACTTCGACATGTTGATATGAGTGGAAATGTTTTTTTCCTTGAGCAGAGTATGTCCTGCAAATTAATAATTAATGTAAACTTCAATATCAGTGCAAACAAAATTGGCATAAATAATTTGCACTGTAAACAGTTAAAATGTTTTATAATACAAAAAGCCATACGAAACAATCTGTGGAAAAATCTCATGCCTGTAAAAATCTCATGCAGGTAAAAGACAGCAATAAACGAGCCTGTCAAAACCAAGTTGATCCACAGGCTTACTGATCTGGGGATCAAATATGGTTTGCACTTGATATTGGACTCCCTGTCTCCCACCTGGGCTATCCCAGCAGGGGTAGAGCAATTAAATCTTGGCAAGCCTTCAAGTGGGTCGCACCATATTTGCCCCGTGAATTAGTTAGTCTGCCTGAATTAGTTAGTCTGCGAATCAACTTGGTTCTGGGCCAAATGTGTAATCTTCCACTTCACCTATAAAAGTTCTTCTGGTTGGTCAGGGATGGAACATCAAATGCATCTGAAACAGAAAATAAAATTAACCTTTGTAAGCATCAATCAATGGCTTGATTTCAAAAATATATATATTTGACAAATACATGTATAAATCCATTTTCTCAAAACATATTTTCAAAAAATATATATTTAACAATTATTTTTCAATATTCTCAACTTTTTCAAATGATGCAGCCTATTATTACAACATGGAAATATAGAATTAAGGAACTTTATTACCATGATTCCCTCTAATATCTAACCAAGTGGTTTTCTTCAAGACCCCTGTTTCTTTCAGAACATCATTATACAAAGTCCACTCTTCCTGAAATTGTCCTGATCCCTGCAGATCTTTATGTTTGGCATCAGTCAAGTCACCTGAAGAATGGGTATAAGAAACTAATATACACATGTGCAAGTATAATTATATTCATCACATTGTTGAGGAAATTGTATGAAATATATACATCACATTTTAATAAATTACTGCAGTTAATTATTTTTAACAGCAGAAAGATATTAGATCTGTATGATATACTACATGTAGCTAACAACAAAATGGATACAAAAATTCAGTTTGTAAAAACAGAAATTACAAAAGGATGGAGCTACACAATCATTTCATTTTTGCCAGCTGTGCTTACTTTAGGCTGCATTCACATCGAGTTAAGCCATGGTTTTACAAAGCCACGACCTAAATATGGTGGACATACATGAAAGGAAAACCAGTTGTGGCTTTGTAGAGCATGGCTCAACTCGATGTGAATGCGGCCTTAGACACCACATTGTACAACAGAAAAACCACATACAAACCTGTAACTAATACTAATTTAGGTTTTATAGCATCTATGTGTGTACTGCAAAATTCTTTTAACTGGCTTACTCTGGCTGGATCATAAAATATGCTAAAATGAAGGTCTGATACCTAAAAAAAACAAACAAAAAAATTAAATAAATAAAATAAAATAAAATAAAATAATGATATCTTTCAGCGTGTTTTCAGATAATGTGAAGAATTTGTTTTTGCTTTAGTATGACAAGGGTCCAGATATAAACCATTTACCTGGAAATGTTTCACTCAGTCTGTTACCAATAAGATGACAAAGAAAAAAAAGCTTGAAAAACTACCTAAAGAAGTGAAGCACTTTTATTTTCTTAAAAGAGTTATGGACATTGTACTATAAATATGCAGTATGCCAAGCTTCTTAGACAGTATTTTGAAATATTCCAAACTGTTTTTCTCTTGTTTTTTCTTGCAATCAAACATTTCTATAAAATCTATATTGCCTAGTACTTTTCCAAACCAAATCAATATATAACATATTTTACTTTGACAGGTGTTCTGAAGCTATTGCAATCATTTAATAAAATATTAACTTAGAGAACACTCATACATCCTTAAAGCAAACAGCATAACATCATCTGTTTAATCAGAGTTCTATAATGACTAGTTACTAGTATATGGGTATATTGCAGGCCACATATACAATTTCATTATATAAAGCACTGAACTCTACATCTTATTATCCTGCACTTGAACTGAAGCAATAAAACAACAGCTTTCCAGCATAAACCTTAATTTCCAATGACATTAAATCAAACATCAATGATGATGTACTGGGAGTATACAGGCACTAAACTAAAAAAAAATGCATGGAGAAAGAGATGAGAATAATTCTTAAATAGTTAAGTAATTTTCACCTCATCTATAGCCTGTGTATAATAAAATTAATGGATTCACCTTTTGTGCTTATCTGACTAACCATCAATGTGCATTACTTTATCAGTCTTACAGTTACACAACTTAGTGTTTTAACGTTGTATGTCATACAATGGAAAACGCTGAATTATTGAATAAGCTAATTAAATGTTTGAAGACACAGCAATTTATACGGGCAACTTTTTCATTAAAAGTTACAAAAATTATTATTAAATTGAATGTCACAGTTGCATGAAAATATTCAACCACTGCAAACACGTAGTCCGTAACTCACCTGTGCAAACCAAAATATATTGTCTTCCTTGGCACCAGGAAAAGGTGGTGCCGACCGAGAACTAAGTGCAGAGGTGTTAATTACTGGCCTTCTTATTTTATCAGTGATAAATATCTTCACTAAAAGCCCACACGATATAACTAAAGCCAAAAACAAAACAACTAATATAGACGATTTCATTCTAATTCAATGTAGAATGTCAAAAATCGAGTAGAATCAACTGTAGCAGACAGCTCACCGGCTGCACATCGTCATCCATAATAACACGGCATTGTGGGAAGCACTTTTCAAGGCAAGACAAAGAAATGAGACGGCAACACGGCGATTTTTTCCCTTTTATTCATTTCTGAAGTAACTTTAATTATTTTACACGTAATATTTGTCTTTTTTCTAAGTTGTCTGTCAAAAACTACTTTTGGTCATACCCGTTCTTCTGTACTGAGAGACCGATAAAAGTAAAATGGCGTCTGCAGGAGAAGAAGCGGTTTCGCCCAGCAACATTGTATTTGAGGAAAAAGTAGACGGGGTAAGGTGATTGTTGACAGTCTAGAATACATTTGAGCGACATGTTTATCTAACTACCGATAAAACACGTTTAGTTCATATTTAGATCCGTCAATGATTGACTAGAAACTAGGAATCATGAATGACTTCGTAAATTTATAATGTGGGTGACTGGATCTACATAACAGTAAATTTAAGTCTGCGCCACAGTGCAGGTTATACTTTTGATATGCTCTTATGCACTTACGTTATCTTGCGTAGGAAACAAAGGACTTTACAAACATTCCACTTGAGGAAAATCCACAGAAAAAGAAAAAGCAACCTCGCCGTATCCTACACTTCAGTGATGGAATTCTCGAAGAATATTCTACGGATGAAGAGGAAGAAGAGAAAGACAAACCTGAACCCGTGGATCCTGTTAGTTTCTACTCTATCAGTTACATCATTCTTATGAAAAAATTGGTGATATGATTTAAATTGAACTAACAGTGGCTGTGTGACATTTTTTTACTTGCTACCGTTACAATAACACACCACTTGTGACATTATAGATATTAAGCTATCAGCTCATTTCCTCACTTTTGGACAATGTTGTTGTAAATCACATAATTTTGGGGTTAAATCCTGCTTATGATCAGTATGGCATGCATCATAATTGAACTCCAAACAAAATGCATTATAGAAAACATTCATTAAGATTCAATTGTGACCATTTGTCTCTTTTGAGAACTACTGTAACAGTTTGTTTTCACAAGTGCTACCAATACAACATGGGGAAAATGAATGTGATAAATACTAAACAATGTCTATTATAATTATTATTAATATTTATTTTTGCTAAGTGTATACAAGGGGTTCTTCTTCAGATTGAAAGTAATTTATTCTTAACCTGACATAGAATAAATTGAATATTCATGTTCTGCTGAAAAATTGTTTTTTTTTTCTCAGTGATCTATACATTTGTATTTTGTAAATGGTGAAACAGAATTCTGTGCAAGTAAATCTTTTTTTCTACTCATGGTCACATATTAACTTGACTACAACATTGTAAAAAGAAATAATTACCAAGATTTATCATGGATGCTGTATTTGTGGAACATAGCTATGATTATGTTATTAGCAGAATACTTACAGATGTACATGTAAATGTATTTCTGGTTTAAATGTATACAAAGTGTTCTTTCTCATTTCAGAAAACGTTGTCTTGGCTGCCATGGTTGTGGTTCTACTTTGTGGCCTTGGCTGTTGGTGCCTTAGCAGGTATTGAGGCACATAGTTGATTAAATAATTAATAGGAGACCTTTGAGCCCATACATGATAGGTTGTCAATTAACAATTTAAGGCAGAATATGCAGCTAAATATATAAGTATTTTAAACACATTCTTCATTTGTAAAGGTGAGTGATCTTAAATTATTGTGGTTAGAATTTATTCATGTTGTTTTGAATACCAAATAATATGCCCTGCTCTTTTTAGTGGCAGATTACTGTGGAGAAAAACTTGCCTGGTTCTTTGGAATTACAACTCCTAAATATCAGTATGCAATAGATGAATATCACAGACTAAGAGAAATCGTAAGTCAGTTTTTCTTCTTCCTCCCCTTCTCCTCTCTCTCTCTCTCTCTCTCTCTCTCACACACACACACACACACCTGGCCAAATATAAAAGATTCTTCAGATGTTTTAGTGTTAGTGTTTTGAATTAGTGTTCATGACTAAATATTAATGGCAAAAGTACAATTTTTAGGAGGAAGAGGAGAGGGCACTGGAAGAAAAAGCAAAAGCAGAAGCTTTAAAGAAGGAAGGGATTCAACTGGGTGAAATGGAGGATGGTGGAGAGAATATACAGGTGACCAGTGGTAAGTCAGAGGGGGATGCCAACCTCTCTGCAGGAGGAGAACCATGTTGATTTCAAAAGAAAGACAAAATGTCATCTTCATACGTGCCTTGTTAAAAATATGTCCCGTCACAACATCCCTTTTAAGCTATCTCTAGACTGTATGCTGTACAGCGCTTAAGTATCATGTAATGTAGATGTGATCTTTGAAGGGTGCATGGATTCAAGAGAACATGCATGCTGTCCTTGAAATATTGACTTGAAAATATGGCTCTGTTTTGTGTGCAGAGCAATGATCATCATCATTATTTTCTCACATCACATCATAGGCAGGTGTTTTAAAAGTTAAGGATTTTTGTATCAGCTTAAAATCATTTTATATGTGTTTCCTAATTATAAGTTTGTGCTGTAATTGTTAACTGCAAAAGAGGAAGCAAACATCGTTTTCACTGTTAATATCACATACACTTTTGATATTCTGATTTTTCTACGCTGTGGTGATCTTTTTCACTCTGTTGTAAATCTAATCATTAAATAATAATTCATATTCCATCACCAGTGCTGAATTTACAGTTGCTGCTGTTGTCATGCATCCTATAAGGATTTTATCAAACGTTCACCAAAAACAATTCAGAAATTTAAAAAAGAAACAAATTTGAAGTTAATGTTCTCATTAGTTTTGCCAAGTATATTATTGAAGATTTGACATGTATTTATGAATATTTGTTTAATCTGCCCTAAAGTTTAGAAAGCATACATGTTCAAGTTGTAGGCCTTTCTTAAAACTATACTGACAGTGTTATTCAACATGTGTGAGGGGATTTAAAATTATATACTTAACCTTTGTATAAAATTATGACCAAGTGCGAGAATCTAGGTATACATATATACTGAGGGAAAAATTGAATTGTAAATATTGTTATTGGAGAAAGTTTTGCTTTCCTGCTGGTTGGGGAATAGATTTGGTAATAAAGTATATATATCATATAATTAAAAAAAATTGGTAGTTTGTGGTATTGAATAGCATGCCATCAATCAAATTTTTCAGGGCAGATCAATTTTATTTTTCACCATTGCGTTAATTTATTTGTATTATTTGGCATCTTGCTACAGTGGATTTTATTTTAGTTCAGTTTGAATCTCTATTATGGGCTTATTATGACTTTCATATGTAATTGCATTTTATATTTTTTCATTTTGATTTTTGTGTATAATATGTAATTTTCTGAAACAATTGTTTATGACATGGAAACAGTTCGTGCAAATTGCTTTTACTTCTTACTTTTATAAAGGACATGGAAAAAAGCTTTTGAATGTTATTGGTAATAAATGTTTACCCTATGAACCTTGTTAATACAGTGCATTTTTTATGTACCTTTGCTACAGATATACTACATTTGATGTTGATGTATTATCAAGTTTGTCTAAGATTATGTACTGGTGTCACTTACATTTTTATCCTTTTAGAAAAAGTGCCCACTTAAACCATTAATATTGTTAGATTTGGTCATCTGCAGCATTAAAATGCATGTAAGGTGTGACTGAAGATAGGCGTACCTATTAGTGAATGAATAAAAAAGTTTATTTTATTTTGAGTTGAAATGCTTCCATTTGGGAGCCGTTGATAAACCTTAAACTTAAATTATTATTTGCTTTTTATAGAATTTCTAATCTGAATCACTTCACAGTTCAAATCTTAAAAGTGGTCATCAACTCGTGAGTGAAATCTTTTTTTTTATTTACTTAAAAACTAACAGAAAAATAATCACATCCTCAAGAACGCCACAGGTATGTATTAACCTTAACAGCGTAATAGAAACCATCATCTTTAAATACCACGTCTCAATCTTACTTCGTTTCTTCCTTTTGTCAGTAACATACACCCGTCATTTCCTTTTATATACAACAGTACTGTGATAATGTGATTTTAAAAATCTTATGTATTGTGTTAATGCTATCTTTGGCGTCGTCCTTTTAATGATCCTTGGGCGCGTAAGTCCTTGACATCCATTACCACACAGAGCGCGTTGCCGAGAGACAAGCGCTGTGGTATGACGATGTTCTGTAAGAAGGCACAAGTAGTATGTTAAAATCAGCAGACTCAGCTTGCCTATCTACGCGAAGTCCTGATCGATGTCCTCCGATAGCCTATTTAAGGTTTGTTGGCGCAAATTTTGCGAACAGCATGTTGCTGAAAATAAAGAGATTGTTGATAAGAATCAGTTATAACAAATTTGTCAACAAACATGTGGTACTGTTGTAACCACCGTGTATTTTTATGGGATATTTGTACTATGATTTAAAGGCAACGTGAAGTTTTACATGGTGTCGGTATGTTATATGTGCGTTAAGGCGTGTGAACAGCAATTTCAAGGGGGTGGTCTTCAAAAGTTGACCTTTTACCCCGTAATTGGCCCAATATAAGAAAATGGTACACGTAATGCTTACACCGATCGATATTTTGATATACTATATATGCTATCGAGTGAAATAAAAGCCGAATAAGATCAATGTAACAATTTCAGTCAAGGTAACAATTTCCTTAACATATTCCGCTTGATTAGTTAGAAAATCATGACTTACTGGAAAGTGACTGGGAACTGTTGACATTGCTGTTTTTGGAGTCGGCAAGTTCTTGTTCAAGCCTGAGGTTTCTCTCCGCCAGAGCGCGCACCTGCTGTTGGTAGACCAGGTTGTCCTGTTCTGCTTTCTCACACCGCTCCTGGAATCATTAACATCAACCATTGAGAACATGGATAGTTACATTATTTATTTTTCAAAGGAAAACAAAGGCACGCCTTTTAAAGCATTTGCGATCCCTACGATCGTATAGATTATTGGAAAAGGTTTAGAGGAGAAAAATCACTCCCAGAAGTTGCCCGGTTATGTACACACAAGTCATAGTTTACAGAAGAATATCTACAAATATTAAAGTAAAACAAAGTAAACCAATGAACTCAATGCACATACAGCCACTTGTCCGGATAACAATAACTGTCATTATGACACAAATATTTAAATCAATGAGATCATTTTACTACTTGTCTGTGTAGGCTACAGCATATTTCTTAGACATTGTCCAAGCACCATGGCAACAGCCGACGTTATTTGTCAATATACATGCATAGAGCCAAATAAGGACGTCATCAAGCAGTAATATAGACTTTTAACGGACGTGAGCCTTAACATGAAACTACCAAGGTTTCAAGAAAAACTGTTTATTTAGATCAAAGTACCATGATCGCGTTTGAAGTAGATTGCCATATTTGAAAAAAAAAAGGAAATATCTTCGATTCTCTATTCCGAACTCATGACTCAAACGGCACGTGTCTACAAATCACCAAAATTTCAATTACTGTTTGAGTCACCCTTTTGAGAAGGACAGTTTTCAAAACCCCACACGGACACACGGACGAGGTGGGGTGGAATGAATTTCGCGAGAAAGCACATCAAAAATTTTATGTAAGGTTCGGCCTATTTTGTCTTTTCATAGGTCTCAAGGTGGGGGGGGGGGGGGTCCAAGTCCCGTACCGTACAAGTCTATAACTGATTATTCTTACCTTATACTGTAAAAGTTCTTTTATAAACACGTCTTGCGAGCTGTATTGTTCTTCTTTGGTTTTTCTTTCTAATTTGATTTGCGTCAGATCGGTCTCCATGGCAGCAAGATCGTCTTTCAGGGCCTGGTTCTCTTCAGACAGCATTTCCTTTTCGGAAGCAAGGACTTCCATGCGAGTACATAAGTCTGTGTTTTCAATTGTTACTTTAGACAACTTTATTTGAACGTCCTCTATATTTTTTCTCGTGTCTTCACTGACTTCATCAGTTCTGTTGATCTGTGCTAACAAGTCCATGTTCCGCTGCTGCAACATGGCGCACTTTTCTTCCAAGTCTTTTATGTCTTTTTGCATATCTTTCATCTGCTCTACCAAATCCGTCTTTTGGCACTCAATAACTAATGTAAGGAAAAAAA